GGTGGATTGCAGAAGAGAGCAAGGTTCTCAGAAAGAAGGGGGCGCATTCCAGGAAGGATAGAGAGACAAGAGACAACACAGTCCAGAGCAGGAGCATGGGAAGTGTAAGAGGTTTAGAATAGTCGCACCCTAGAATCTCCCAGGGTATATCCATTAGTTGCAGTAGTACAGATTTAGTGTGGCAAGATTCTGTTGATATGGTGTAAGTAATTAAAGAACTGAATTTGGATGAACTGTTTCCCTGTTGTTCTTGGATTGGGCCTGACATCAATCTTGCCAGACTCATACTCCCAACAAGAAGGAAAAATTGAGCATGTCCATGAATCCTCAAGGGGCACCGATAACTCCACAGCATCTAGTAGCAGCCTTACTGCAGCATCAGCAGCAAGTGGACACACAGGTCAATAATTTACAAGCCACAATGATGCAGTTGTTGCAACAGCTCAGTCAAAACACCCAATAGCCTGCAACCAGACTGGCAGTAGGGGCACAGCCAGTATTCTTGCGCTCTCATGGCAGCTTACCAGAGAAATATGGGGGGGAAGTCAATCAATTAAGAACCTTCCTTACCCAGTGCAAGATGTTAATTAATGGACATTAATTAAGAATTTCCTTGGGAGATTTAGAGGCCATTTTGGGGATCCCATCCAGAGGGTCACGGCCAATCAGGAAATTCTAGGGAGTGGCTATTCTAAACCTCTTACACTCCTCACACTCCTGCTCCGGACTGTATTGTGTCTTGTCTCTCTGCCCTTCCTGGAATGCATCACCTTCCTGAGAACCTTGCTCTCTTCTGCAATCCATCACATCTGGCTCATTTGGAAGTAATGAAATATAGCTCTCACTTTTGACATAATAGGAACACTCCTGGCTTCTTTTCTTGCTTGTAAGAATGGAAAAACAAACTGGAAACTAAGAGGTTATGTAGAGTAATATGCATTAGCTTGGCTTATTAAACCAAGATTTGATACACTAAATATTGGCAATTACTTAATAAAGTTTATAGAACTGTTCTAACCCAGCTTGTAGTCAGTCAGTTAATAGTGTTGTTTCCAAACATCTAGATTAAGCACCGAGATAGAAGATATATCTAGATATATATTCCAAGATATGCATACTCCTGTACTGTATGCTGATTCCCAAGAAAAATAACATGTTAAAATACATAGAGTAAGCCATTATTTTATTCAAATAGTTTTCTATGTTCACTTGTAATCATGGTCAGATGGATAGATCAGCTATACCAAAGCATCCATAGCCATTTCCATGAAGAAAGAGAAATGAATAACATGACTTTCTGCTCAAATAAGCATCCTTTTTTTTCTTTTCTTTTGTTTTTAGTTTAGAAGAGGGCAATGCAAAGCTAGTTAAAAAGATTCCCAACTATTCATACATTGCGATATTTCTCCAGAATTACATTTCCTTTACTGTTTATTTGAAATAACAATCTCTGTGACTTAATAACTTCAACCACATATTTTGCTGGGATTATGATAATACAGCTGATAAATGTAAGTAACTGATTCACACAAAACAGCATCCTCGTAATTCTGTTTAAGCTTTTGTGTTTATTATACTTCATGTACTGATGCCCTTCGGAAGTGATAGATACCACTGATCTCACACAATGGTGCAGGCACCTATCCCAAATGTATAATCAAATTTCCTATGAAAACTTAGAAATTAACCCTATCAGAACTGACAAACTTATTTTATCAGTTAGTTGGGGGGATAGTGCATTTGATAATGCATTAAAGGAGTTTTCAGAATGCTAATTTACAGAAGGAACTTCATACTGTTTTCTCCTGCATTCACCATCTCCTTGTTCCTCACTGTAGTAGCAGCGGTAAGAGTCTGTTGGCCCAAGTGATCTAATTACTGGGAATCAAAATTCCAATGGTGGCTCCATTATCGTAAATATTTTACAGACTATGCTTTCCCTGGATATGTGTCTTGAATTTTAAAAGACAAGCATAATTGTGAAGAGACACCAGTGGCTTGGAGCTGGCTAAGCTTGTCACATCTACTACACATATCTTTCTGATATTTTTCAGCCTGATTTGTAATCATAACTGAAGAATCCTCGGTGCATCTCTGAACACCAGCTTTGTGCTATGGTGAGGATGTTGTCTGAGCCTGACTGGGCAGAAATGGCATGTCAATAAAACCACCAGCTAAGAAAGAGGCTTTTCCCAGGTCTCCCTCCAAATGGACATCAGAGGGAGAGGCAGCCCAAACAGCCATGTACTTCAAGGGAGACAGAGAAAGAGTCTGATCATAAACCAAGAGCCAGAAATCCTTCCCAGAGGAAGCCCCACAAAAATGAGAAATTATACCATATGAACTTTTGGTTCTGGCAGCACAACTGAGGAAAGAACAGGTGGAAGAGAAATGAAAAAAGAACAGGGTTGTGGGGAAGGAGGAGTTTTAACAAGTGAAGCTTTTCTCACTGACAGAATGAGTGACGTCTGTCAAAATATCCTCTTCCACCCATCTACTAAAAAGTACTGCAGCATTATTCTTGTATTTTTGTTTATCTTATTTATCTAAAACAGCTCTGGAAAAGTCAAGGATGCCCTTAAAACTTTGAGCGTGCTGTAAATATGCCTATACAATAGAAATTATAAATGCAATGCCCATTTTTTTCTATATAGCACTGGTTCACTGGGCATGGAAACGCCACGATACTGTAAATCATACATAGGATACCACTTTCCTCAGGCCAGTTCTAAGCTGTCTTGTCTGTCTGCCCTTATACTAATAAAGACAACAAGCAGACAGGCAACTTTAGCCAGTCATGATGTCTGCCATAATGTAAGTTTCCCATTTTGGAGTTGGAACCATAGAAATAGGGATTTCCACCCCTTGCTCTTCCTGCATCATTCTTATAAAAGTGTCCTCAAAAATAATATAGAAAGCTAAAATGGGGCAGATCAGTACTACTGGATTTTAAAGTTGGCAGTTGCAATGTCTCTTCCAATGTCTAGGGTAAGATTTTTACTGTGTAACTGAATTCTAAAATACTCAAGCCATTCAAGAATGACAATAGATATCAACACTGTTCAAGCAAAATGTGATAATCTCTGGCATCATCTATGATACCGAATTGAGAAATCCCACTATAGGGACAAAAACAGTGAAGTACACAGATACACACACACACACACCAATAGTGAACATCAGAGATAAAGAATGACCAGCATTTCCAATGATCTGCTTGTTATTTTGGTGTTGCAGATAAGAGAATTAGATGGAGAGATGTCCTAAAGAGAGATGAAGCCAATTCAAAGAGCTGCAGGTGATTAAACGTTACCAAGGTCTTGAAGAATGATCAGTGCAATGAATAAAAATGGAGAATATTTTATTACAAAGTCACTAGAACAGAGGGTGATCAGCACCCTGGGGGTGTTTTCTGTCTGGAGGCTGCGCTTTGTGCTATACTTGGGGGCACAGGAGGAATGACCAGAAATATTATTATGGGATAACTGGCAGAGTTATTTTCAGACCCGTGTTTGACTTTGGAGAGGAAGATGAAGGGGATGAAATGCATGCATTATAATGTGTAGTGGCTAAAGGCACACATTTAGTCTCTTAGCCTCTCCAAATGGAAAAATTGATCCAACGGTTGGAGGGATTCAAAGGTTTCAAAGGATGAAACAGGTGCAATTAAATTCTGCAAGGTTTAAGGCATCATTTCATCTGTTAATCTCTCATCCAAGAAACACTTCTGAAATATCAGCCTGCCTGACCTGAGGTTGGGGTTTGCAGTCACAAATACGGTGTGACTGCATGCACCTTCCGGGATGAGAATGCCCACCTTTGCTAAAGAAACTAGACAAACAGTACAACCTATGTGGGAATATAGAAATTATTTTCAAGGCTACATGCTACAGAATAGGCAATGTGGTAACCATAAGTACTCATGTGCTAATGAATCCCTCCTCTGATACTCAGCAGAGTCAATATCATCATCATCATCATCATCATCATCATCATCATCATCAACATCATCATCCCATCCAAAATTGCCTTTTGGTCCCATGTGGACTCCATAGGCTTTCTTGAAAAATTAAAATAATAAGGTAAGCTGGAATAGTAGAAATATTCTAATAGTTCCAAGCTAGAGAAGAAGCAAACCCACTAGTTTCCCTTTTGATAAATCAATAATCTATGATGGCCATATCCACCCTAGCAACCATTTTGCAAATAACCAACCCCCCATGTTATTTTATGAGAAGATCTCACAATCACACAAATATCCAATTGCATCCACAAGCCCAGAATATTGCCTATTTCTATTTCTAGGCAACTTGGGAAGTACTCTGTGAAAAAAGATAGATGGAGTCCAAAGATGAATGGCTCTTCTTCATACATCAAAGCACTGGAGAACACAGAGAAATAAAAATGTATTTAAGTACCAAGAATTAAGTGAACTTCACTGCAGTAATAGGAAGGTGAGCACAGTAACTGAAGCAAGGTGATAGCAAATCCCTTCTTATGATTCTGTAATAAGATGATCAACTGAAATGGTACTAGAAGATTAGACAGAAATGAGACACATTAAAAAATCAGCTGACTGACAAGTTCAATTTTTTCATGAAGCTTGTTTTGCTCAACAAGCAAGCAAACCAACCAACCAACCAACCAACCCCCATCTAATCATATTCAGGTCAAGAAAGTTTAAATGCCACCTATGGTTGTAATAAAACCATCAATTTCTATGTAGTGTTTATATCTGGAAAAAACAACAACACTACGGGCAATTTTCTTTTCATAATGCATTTACAGATACAAAGAGTTAAATATCAGGACCGGGCTTAACTCAAAATAAGGTTATGCATTATTTTGTACATGTTTACAATGCTGTTGAAATATTTATATTAAAAGCCAATCGCTATAATATTTTAGCCAATTTAAACTAGTTACATACTTTTAAACACAAATGTTTTAAATAGAGCAGATTGATATTAAATTTTAAAGAATACCTATTTGGGACGTACCTCCTCGTTGTACCAGCAGCGTCACCTCACTTCCTTTAGGACATTCAATCAGCATATCCACAACTTGGTTGTGAGTTAGATTCTGCACATTCTTCTTGTTGACTTCAACTATAAGATCCCCTTCTTTTAGGCCTCGACATCTTGGGCTGTCAACAATTTGCTTCACTCTCTGTCCCCCACCCCCAGGACTGTCTGCTATAGTAAAGCCAAAGCCCATTGGCCCTTTAATTATATGTACAGTTATGAGTTCAGGTTGCGTTGCTATAGAAGAAGCCAAAGATACTGTGTCGTTGGGGTAGCCGTGGGATCCATTGGAAGAAACCTCAGTGGGACTGCTAGGCCTTTGCTCTTTCATCCCATTTACTTTCCCTGTTTTACTACCATGGCTTGCTGGAGAGTCGTAGTTTTCTTGCCCATTCACAATGATTGGTTCTTTATCCAAAATGGCCACAGATGTCACCAGGCTTGTGTTGGGATCATCTGGGTCAAAAGGCAGAGGATAGCCTCGGCACAGTTCTAGGTCCACACTGGCACCAATAGGAATTGACTGGAAGATTTTGACCACTTGGGCATGGGTATGGCCCAGTACACATGTGTCATTCACGCTGACAATAACATCTCCTATAGAACAAATGGTTGAAACTCTGTTAGTTTATACATACAAGCTTCTTGTTTCAGCATATTAAAGTACAGCAAAAGGAAGGAGGAGGAAGAGAAGCAAGTAGTAGTACTAGTAGTAGTGGTTCTACCAAATATATACTGGTGAAAAGATTTGGAAACCAAACATCCAGAGTTAAAAACTTTTGGTAATCAGGTTTTTTTTAATGCATTGTTCAGGGCAATCATCATCATCATCATCATCATCATCATCATCATCATCCCACAATGCTATGTAACAGAGAAATGTTTAGTGCTAGAATCCAAAGAGTAACTTTAGCTCAACAAAGTTGAGCATTATCTATTAGGATATTATAACATTTTTTCTTTTTTGTGCAACTAATACTTATATACCCATTTTTCCATCACCACAAATTCAGAGACTGTGAGAAAAGGAGGCAATAAATCCGAAGCAGAATATTCATATAATTTAGAGCTACACAGAAAAAATCAGAAATGATCTTATATAACTAAGCTCATGAGCTCCTGGGGACAAAATACTGGGTTTAGATCTGTGTTTAACTCTGTGGGTGATAGAATCCAATGTTTTGTGTGTATCCTACTTACACACCAGGAATTCCTCCTGCACAGCATTTTTGGTACATTGTGGGAACGGGGGGAGGAAAAAGAATCCATTCTGCTAATGGACATAATTCTACCAATAGAATGTCACCACTGGATAAAAGTTCCCATTGGATCAACAAGGCTAATTATTTTCCTTGGATTCCCCTTCCTTTCCCCATGAAGAAAGTGGGAATAATGTTAGCATGACACATAAACTGGAGGGAACATTGTTATAACAGTAAATGTATTTCAACATGGAAATCATCAACTATTCCTATAGTAATGGAACTTTCATTCTTGTTTGAAAATAAACTAACTTGTTGGGAAATACTTTCAAAAATGTAGAATCATTTTCTTGATGACTGGAAAAGACTACACTTGTTTCAGCAGACAGCTTCACTTTTAACCAATAATAGAGATTAGGGAATTCTTTTTTAGCTGCTTTAAAGTATCTCAAAAATAATTTTGATAGATTGGGTTACAGTTCAGTTCACTTGGGAAGAAATATTTCCATGTTTGTATTCTGAAAAAGAAATGCTTACATAAAACTCGTTTGCCTGCTGGTTTTAAGTAGATGTGGGATTATCCTTCAGTGTCCTGGAAATTTACTGTTTGTATTTCTAAGCTCTAATATGTTTTTTTCCCTTCAAAACGGTTGCTAAGTGCAGCAGTACTACATTGTATGAGTTCAATTATGACTTAAATAGTGAAGGATTTTGCTCTGAATTCTGCCTATAAGAATGGCAGAATGTTTTGGCCTTGACACAGCATCTGTTCCAGAGTAGACTGAGACTTTTAGATTTGAGTCTCTGCTATGCCTATTAAGAATGCAGATTGTAATATTTTGCTGCTAAATTGGTATGGCTTTAAACCTCCTTGGTTTTTTTGAAAACAGAAACACACATTATCTTTTCTTTAAAAAAGAAAAAAAAAACTTTGCCCAGAATAGAACCATTGAGGTTTAGATTCTGGTAGAATACGAAGCTTTCCCTAGCATTTTACTAATTAAAGGTGCTCTTGATTGAATATTTCATGATTTTAATTAGATACTGAGGACGGTTAGATGTAAAGAGGCTGAGTTATGTACTATATGATGGCTGCTCTCTATTATTTCTATCCCTCCTCCTCCTTTTTCTTTTAATGCCTTTGAGTCAGTGTTAACTCCTGGTGACTGCCTGGACTAGTCTCTGCAGTCTTCTTGGCAAGATTTCAGAAGTCGCTTGCCATTGCCTCGTTCCTAGGGCTGAGAGAGAGTGACTGTCCCAAGATCACCCAGCTGGCTTTGTGTCTCAGGCAGGACTAGAACTCCCAGTTTCTAGCCTGGAACCTTAACCACTACACCAAACTGGCTTCCCCTTATTTCATCTAGTTTTCACCAATGGTAGCTATCATAGCAGCTGACATGAAGTTTTGTAGAGGGAAAAAACCCCGTCAATCATGATTTTTAGAATGAGGCACTCACAGCACCCAGAACAGCTGGAACAATGTACTGTAAACAGTGTGGAACAAAACTATGGAATGGAACTTCTATATTTTATCTCAAGGACCGTGTTACTTCCCTTCCTTTGCTTTCAGAAAGAAATTAAGGCAAACTAAGATGATTGAATTTCAGGTGACTACACTGTCTTTCCACGGCTGATCTCCAAGTAAAGCAGAGAAACCAGGAGTTTCCTCTCCTGCCTGACAAGCTACCTGTTTCCATTTTGCCATCCAGTGCTGCAGGCCCGTCAAGCACCAAACTCTTTATCTGGAGAAATTCGTCTGGTTCGTCTCCGCCGACCACCGTGAAGCCAAAGCCTCTGCTGCTTTTCCTCAGTTTGGTGTGAATGAACTTCCCTTTCAGTTCAGATGGATTCCGGGTGAAAAATGGTTTCCCTGCTGTGAAAGTTTCAGAAGTTTATGAATTGGGAAAAATAAATGCACTCATTTCTCTACAGTATCCTTCTCTAACTTCCTCCAGCAACGTAATGAACCAACCCTCAGAAGGAGTAAATGTTAGAACCTGACAGAGCTCTCCTCTTCTGAGAAGTTCTTCAGACCCTCAAACATTGAAGAGCACTATGGGTGTGTATGAAATGGGAAAATATATTGTTTCAAACTCAGGACCAACCCGGGGGTTCTGCTAAATAATTTTGAGGGCAGCCATAACTCAGCAGAACTGAAATCCAGAAAACATTGGTTGTTCCAGGTTTCAGATGAAATAAAGTTCAGCCAGGCACAGAAAGGCAAATCTGATGTGCACCACTCCCCACTTCCTGCAGTTCGCAGCATTGTATTGGCCTGCCACTTCTCAATGTTCTCAGTACCTTGCTTTTTTCACTTGGCTGCTATCACTGATGCCCCAGTATGACACCTGCCATAGGCCTACCCATTCCTTAATCTTCTCAGGCTTCCTTCCCTCCCTCCCCTCAGTCACCAACACTGCTGCTATTGCAGCATGACTTATCCCACTGGCCTATCAGCCAATCTTCCCTGCACTTTTCCTTTCCCTTGGAATGGGATGTGGGAATGACCTTGGGAGATAGGAGGAAAAGCTGCAGCCTAGACCACAGTCTGATAAACAAAATTTAAGTCGGAAGGAGAAGGAGTGGAGAAAGAGTCTCAAAAGGGACCCTCCCTAGTTTTTGGGAGAGTAAAAGTGAGGGACGGGAGGGGTACTTTCAGAATACTTGCAAGATTCTGTAACCTTACAATAAAGGCAAAATTAGTATTCATTTTCATGCTTCTTGACTGGACTACCTCAAAGGGCTAACATTAATCTTGTAAGTCTCAAAATACTCCTCCCATCCCTCATTTTTACTCTCCAGAAAATTATGGAGGGTCCCTTCTGAGATGCTTTTCCAGCCCCATCTCTTCTTCCAATTAAATTTTGTTTATCAGAGTGTTGTCTAGTCTGTGGCTCTTCCTCCTGTCCCAAGGTCATTGCCACATACCAGTACATAATGGCTAAAGTCCTTCATTTTCTCCCTGTACCTCCCCACACAAAAAACTATTTTCTCTCTGAACAAAAGAGCTCCATTTCTTTTCACACATGAACTAAAATGGTTGAACCAAGTACAGACCACCCAAAACCAGTTTCTTCATGTACAGAACAGTTCATGTTTGGCACATTTAGCACATCCCTAAATACGATTAGTTGTAAGGAGGAGGCTTGCAATAAGAATCTTGTACTGGAATTAACAGAGTAATATTCTACCCAGGAAGAAGATAACAAAGAGTGTTATAATGAAATGACATTTGTAAGCTACAGAATTGTCTTATTAATACAACTAGCTTTTAGCTGCAGTGGGCTCCTATTATGTCTTCTACTGGTTAGTTAGATAATACTAACAAATAAAAAAAATCCAAAGGGTTTAGGGGTGGTTATACATGCAGAGATGAAGTACGTTTATGATAAAAATGACTGATTGTACTTATAACCAGGGCAATATGGAGAATGTGGTGATATTGTTTTGATAGCTGTGGCTTTCCCAGGCAGTTGATGTATGAACATATGAAGACATCCTGAATAAAACCAGACCACCAGGGTTTCAGTGATTTTAAGTGATTTCCTGGTATCACTTGAGTCCCATTCAGGGGGTTACCAAAAAAAGAAGAACACACTGTGTGAGCTTTCTAGGTAAGTTATACGCATTCCCAACCTGCCATGCTACTCAAATGAGGTCAAGTCTCCGTAGGGAAAAAGCCTACGAATATACCGTTGCTCACATACAAGCTTTTCTTCTACACACATCACAGAAGTATTGTTGATGGGGTAGAAACAAGGTGGACTGAGGAACTAAACACCTGAACAGGGCTCAAATATTCTTGGGAAAGAACCCTGGACTTAGAACACCATGTGTTCTACTGTTAAGATACCAAATCAAATCAAATCTTTATTACATAGACCAGCATAACTATTGAGCTAAGGATCTCTCTCTCTTTCTATCTTTTATCATATTCATAACCACATCCACCAAATCTTTAAGAAGAAATGTGGATGGTAGTTCTAAAGTAATTTTTTCCCATTTGCTTTAGAAAGCATGATCAAACAGGAGTACCAGATCAGCTGAATGTTTTTAGCCTATCCTATGTGCATCAAATATGAGCAAATAAAAATAAAAGTAGAAAACAAAATCCAAGCATGCAGAATTGTAGAAATGATACAGATGAGGTTGGTGCTGATCCTAAATTGACATGGCAAGCTGTGACTGACAGTTATTTCCCTAACGATAGATACGTTGAAGTATATTCCAGAATTATGCATGGTAATAAGTGTACCTTTATTTACTTGTTTATTTGTTCATTTTGCTTGTAGGCCACCCATTCTCAAAAGCTCTGGAAAGTTAACAATGTCAGCCTATAAAATAATGATACCCAAACCCCAACTACATATAAAAATAAAAGGATTAAAATATGAAAACCCCAAAATACAAATGTCATTTGCCTATAAACCCCAACTTCAATTACTACATGGGCAGGATGGAACAGGTTAATCTTCATAATTTTCCTGAAGCTCAAGAAGGATGAACCTGATTGAATATCTGCCAGGAGGGAGTTCCAAAGAGGGGTGGAGGTGGGGGTGGATACTGAAAACATCCATTTCCAAAACCCTAGCAGGTGACAATCCCATAGGAAACAACGGCAAATTAGAAATGCAAGTCTATCAAAAAAATAACCCACATTAACCAATGTGATCCATTGGTTGATCACATTGATCCATTATCAAAGTAACAACCCAACATCCCACAAGAGGAACTATGTAAGAACATTATTCAGATGAGTACAAATGCACTGCAGCAACCCAGAACTCACCAGAATAAGGAAAAAGAACACCTATACAACAGCCTCCAACAAAATGGATTCCCACACAAGTTTATCAAAAAGTGCTTGACCACATTACAGCACAAGCAACACAAGATATAAAAAGGATAACACTGCCATATATTGGAAACACCTCAGAAACAACCGACAGACTATTACAACCACGTGGCATTACTGTAGCACACGAACCAACTAAAGCCCTCCAAAACATCTTAAGCAAACCAAAAGACCCAGTAGCCCAAGAAGAAAAAACGAGTACAAGCAACACAAGAAACAAAAAGGACACCACTGCCATACATTGGAAACACCTCAGAAACAACCGACAGACTATTACAACCACGTGGCATTACTGTAGCACACGAACCAACTAAAGCCCTCCAAAACATCTTAAGCAAACCAAAAGACCCAGTAGCCCAAGAAGAAAAAACGAGTCATTTACAACATATACTGTAAGGACTGTAACAGCCACTATGTAGGACAGCAGGCAGAAGACTACAGAGCGCATCCATGAACACCAACTAGCAGTCAGAAGACGTGATGAAAACTCTTTAATCTCACAACACATGGACAGACTCAATCATAGTTTCAACTGGGAAACTGTCAGCATCTTAGACCAAGCTAAATCCAAAAATGCCAGGGAATTCCTGGAAGCTTGGCATTCAGACAAATCAGCTGTCACTAGACATGTAGAGATAAGCCACATTTACACACCATTCAAAAGAGACAATAAAAAAAGCTAAGAAGGAAACAAATGACCAGAACACATCCTCTCCAGCAACCAACACCCAGATAAGCAGGGATTAATACCAGACAAACAATCAAGCAGAAAACAATACCTTAATCAAGGAACTACCAAGGAGAAAACCACACCCCCACCAACAGTGACAGGGCAAACTACTGTATATAAACAGGGAGCAAAACCCAGAGTCACTCACACTGATGTTACCTAGTTGGGTAATGAAATGTCTGCAAGCAAACAACAAGCTCAGAGAGCACCAAGGACTCCACAGTTCAATCCTGAGCTACATATATTCTCTTCCATTGGAACATTAGAGGAATGTTAGTTGGGGATGTGAAATGTATCTGTACTTTCGTATGCAGTTAATCCCAAGTTGTTGGTGGAGAATCAAACAATTTGCAGCAAATGTTTGATAGAGAGTATGCTGCAATGAGAAGCATGGATCTGAAAAGAGGCATGGAATATAGAACAGATATGTTATACATAAATGGTGAAAAACTAGAACAAGTAGATGAATTTGTGTCTCTTTGTTAGAAGATTTAATAAAACATGGGAAAATGGATAATAAATGTTGATTTCCAAATGCTAGTAGAAAGGTAGTGAGCAGTACAAGGTCTGTGCAAAGAATATTTGTTCAAAGAAGTAACAATGGTTGTACATAAGAGTATACTGCTGCCCAGTCTTATGGAAGTGATAGTTGGGTATGTCAGGAGAAACATAAAAGTAAGTTGAATGCAATAAGAATGAGGTACTTATTGATTTGGCTTGGCTTGGCTTGGCTTGGCTTGGCTTGGCTTGGCTTGGCTTGGCTTGGCTTGGC